CCCGCCGTGCTCCCGCCGTGGAGTTGCAGCTGTGTTCACCATAACATTTTTTTGTCCGTAGTGTGTGATGATGAAATTGTTAATTGTGAATAGAATCAGGATTATAAACTAATTTTTAATAGAAGAGGAGAAAAAAAAAAGTATATACTTAAAAAAATGTATTTATGGCTCAGATGTACTGTAATTCAGATTTATTGTACCGCTTCCTTGATTTTTAACTATGCACTGTAATGAGGCACTTGCCACTCAGCAAATGGGGGGCCAGAGCAGAGTCATGGAGCCGGCATTCACCCGTTGGCCACGGAGGCACCCGCCTCCCCCACCGGCAAACTGTGGTGCTCGGTGGTCATGTTGGGGTCGCCCACTTTGCTGTCAAAGCCATTCTTCTTGCTCGCATGGCCCGAGCCCCCCAGCTTGGCTGGGTCACGGCACCCAGATGCTGAGCTCAGTCCCGATGTGTGATGGAGCTGGCAGGCGGTGGGGCACACCAGCCCCATGCCATTCTTGCCGTGGGGCCAGGCAGCTTTTCAGGCGTGAAGGAGAGGGGTGGTAGAAGGATGCACTACCCGGGGGGCTGCAAGACCGATGCCTGCCAGCCAGCGCTGCTCCAGCCCTCCACTGCCTTTGGAGCCAGGAGAGAGGGGCCGGGGGGCCGGAGCCAGCCAGGCTTGATCCAGCAGGTCCTGCCGGCACAGCCTGGGGGACGAGCACCTCCGGCTCCATCCGAGGGGGCTGGCTTCTCTCCGGCTTGGGTGGCTGGGGGACCGGCCGGGCTGAGCGGCTTGCTCCCCGCTCACTTCCACCCCCTGCAAAGCAAGCGGGCTGAGAAGACCCATCTGTGATCGCCGCCTGGCAGCCGGTCCAAAATCCAGACAGGCAGGGAGGCAGGAGGGGGCACGGCAGCGCACCCAACGCCCTGCCTGTGCTCTGCCTGGTACCTGATAAGCCATACACTTCCCCAGCACTCAGTTGGCACCCAGGATCCATCCTCCATGCCTGCCAGCACCCTGTGGCACGCTTGCCCGCTCTGCCTCTGGCCAGGGGCCCTTGGGGCTGCCTGGCAGCGCTGGATTTAAGGCATGCTCAAGCAGCACCCCCCTCCGAAATTTGCCTGCAAACTTGCCCTCCATCTCTGGGTGAGGTGGGAGGGGGAGAGAGCCCACCGCGAGCTGGAGCAAACCCCACCGCGAGCCGGCCAGAGGCACTGTTTTCCTGAGGAAGCGGGAATCTCGCTGCTCCTCAAGCCGTCGCTATCATCTCCATTTATTTTTCAGACCCAGAGACCTCTAGGGATTCAGCCATCCTATGTAGATAGAATATTATAGCCTTAACTCTGCCAATAGATAGATTAGAGTCTCCTGGAGTCTCCCCTCAACATGACTTAGGGGTTTTATTCTCATTTCCTTAGTGTGGGTACTATTTCATCCTGCAGGGAGTATGACCAAAGCCTCCGAAATTGCACAAGATGCGATGCCAAGAGCCTGAACCCTGCCGAGGTGGCCCTTGGCTCCGGGGCCATGTGTGCAGCTGGTCTCTGGCGGGAGCAGG